CTCACCAAGTTGCCCAGGTGGGTCTCAAACCCGCGGGCTCAGGCAGTCCACTCACCTCGGCCTCCCAAAGCACGGGATTACAGGCTGAGCCACTGAGCCCGGCCTATTTTTATTTTTTTTTAGTTGGAGTCTCTCTCTTGTCACCCAGGCTGGAGTACAGTAGCATGCTCATGGCCACCCCAGCCACCTGCTGGGCTCTGGCGATCCTTCCGCCTCAACCTTCCAAGTAGCTGGAGCTACAGACATACGCCACCATGCCTAGCTAGTATATTTTTACTTTTTAGACAGGGGGCTTTCATTATGTTGCCCAGGCTGGAGTGCAGTGGCTATTTACAGGTGTGATCATAACTCACTCCTGGGCTGAAAGGATTCTCCCACCTCAGCCTCCTGAGTAGCTGGGACCACAGGTGCATGCCTCCACATCCGGCTAACCGATTTTTTTGTAGACACAAGGTCTTGTTATGTTTCCCAGAATGGACTCAAACTCCTGCCTCAGACTCCCAAAGTGGTGGGACTACAGGTGTGAGCCACTGTGCCTAGCCTCCATTGGGATTTTGACGTGACTCAATGGTATCTATAGATCAACATGAGGGAACTTGGCATCTTAACAGTATTAAGTCTGGCTGGGTACAGTGGCTCATGCCTGTAATCCCAGCACTTTGGGCAACTCAGGCAGGACAATTGCTTCAGCCCACAGGTTTTAGACTAGCCTGGACAACTTGGCAACTTAGACAATTTTTGATGGGTCTGTAAATGGTATTTATTTTCCAATTTTTTTGTGCCTGGTTTATACAAATACTATTGATTTTTAAGCCGGGATCGGTGGCTCAGCCTGTAATCCCACGCCTTTGGGAGGCTGAGGTGAGTGGATTGCCTGAGCCCGCGGGTTCGAGACCCTCCTGGGCAGCGAGACCTCATCTCTACAATAAATCAAAAAATCAGCCGGGCGTGGTAGCGCATGCCTGTAATTCTGGCTACTCAGAATGCTGAGGCGGAAGGATTGCCGGAGCCCAGCAGGTCGAGGCTGCGGTGGCTGGGAGCGGCCACTGCACTCCAGTCTGGGCAACAGAGTAAGACTCCAACTCAAAAAACCCAAAAAACCCCCAAAAAACAAAACAAATACTATTGATTTTTATATATTTCCCTCATATCTAGAAACTTTGCCAAATTCACTTATTTCTGATGAGATTGGGTACATTCAGGGTGGTATGATTGTGGGCTTAATTCACTTATTTCTAGTAAATTTCTTTGTTTTTTAGTTTTTTGTTTTAAGAGACAGAGTCTTGCTATGTTGCCCAGGCTGATCTCAAACTCCTGGGCTCAAGCAGTCATCCCTCTCGGCCTCCCAATGTGCTAGGATCAGTCATGAGCCACCATACCCAGCATATTTCTAATACATTTCTGTAAATTATTTTGGAGTACATAACTTTTTTTTTTTTTGAGTCAGTCTCACTCTGTCGCCCAGACTGGAGTGCAGTGGCCGCTCCTGGCCACTGTAGCCTCGACCTGCTGGGCTCCGGCGATCCTTCCGCCTCAGCCTTCCGAGTAGCCGGAATTACAGGCATGCACTACCACACCCGGCTGATTTTTGATTTATTGTAGAGATGAGGTCTCGCCAAGTTGCCCAGGCAGGTCTTGAACTTGCGGGCTCATGCAATCCTCACCTCAGCCTCCCAAAGCGCGGGATTACAGGCTGAGCCACCGAGCCCGGCTGCACATAACCTTTGACATGTGACATGTTCTATTTGTTTTCTTTTCCACTTTTAATACCTTTTTCTATCCTATTGCACTGGCTAGGATTCCCCAGTACAATGTTGAATAGAAGTGGTGATAATGGGCATTTTGTATTTTCAAACTCATGGGGAAAACGTTTAACTTTACCATTAGCCGGGCTCAGTGGCTCAGCCTGTAATTCCGCGCCTTTGGGAGGCTGAGGTGAGGATTGCATGAGCCCGCAAGTTCAAGACCTGCCTGGGCAACTTGGCGAGACCTCATCTCTACAATAAATCAAAAAATCAGCCAGGCGTGGTAGCGCACACCTGTAATTCCGGCTACTTGGAAGGCTGAGGCGGAAGGATCGCTGGAGCCCAGCAGGTCGAGGCTGTGGTGGCCGGGAGTGGTCACTGCACTCCAGTCTGGGCAACTGAGTGAGACTCCAACTCAAAAAAAAAAAAAACAAAATCAAGAAAAAACATTTTACCATTAAGTCTGGTGTTAGCTAAAGATTTTTTGTTGCCCATTGTCAAATTAAGGAAGTTCCCTTCAATTCCTAGTTGGGTAAGAGGTGTTTGTTTTCTTCTTGAATAGTGTTAAATTTCATCAAATGACCATTTACTTTTTTGCTTTTGTGTTAATGTGGTGAATTATATTGAATGTTTTTTTTGTTTGTTTGTTTGTTTTTTTGAGTTAGAGTCTCATTCTAATGCCCAGACTGGAGTGCAGTGGCCGCTCCCAGCCACTGCAGCCTCGACCTGCTGGGCTCCAGCAATCCTCCTGCCTCAGCCTTCCAAGTAGCTGGAACTACAGGCGCGCGCTACCATGCCTGGCTAATGAATGTTTTTTTTCAGTGTTCACCCAACCTTGTATTTCTGGAATACATATCACTTGATCATGATGTATTATTTTTTATATGAATTACTGGATTCTATCTGCTAATATTATGTTTAAGGATTGAGTCTGTTTTTTTTGTTGTTGTTTGTTTTTTATTTTTGAGCAGGAGTCTCACTCTGTCTCCCAGCTGGAGTGCAGTGGCAAGCTCATGGTCACTGCCACCTCAACCTACTGGGCTCAGGTGATACTTCTGCCTCAGCCTTTCAGGCATCTGGAACTACAGGCGTGCACTACCACGCCTGGCTAGTTTTTTTATTTATTGTAGAGACGAGGTCTCACAAGTTGCCCAAGCTGGTCTTGAACCCCTGGGCTCAGGCAATCCTCTCACCTCCACCCCCCAAAATACTGGAATTGCAGGTGTGAGCTACCATACCCAGCTCTGAGTCTATTTTTATAAGAGACATTGGCTTTTATTTATTTATGTTTAAAGCAGGATTTATTGAGAAGACAGAAAAGCTCCAACAGCGGAAGGGGACCCAAGGGGGTTGCCAACATTGGCTTTTAATTCCCTGTGTTATCATATCCTTGTGAAGTTTGTTATTAAAATTTTTGCTGGAGTGCAGTGGCAAACTTATGGCTACCACAGCCTCAACCTGCTGGGCTCAGGCGATCCTTCCACCTCAGCCTTCCAAGTAGCTGGAACTACAGGCACATACCACCATGCCCAGCTACTTTTTTGGTTTATTGTGAGTATGAGATCTCGCCAAGTTGCTTGGCCTGGCCTCAAACCTCTGGACTCAGGCAATTATCTTGCCTCTGCATCCCAAAGTGCTAGGCTTATAGGTATGAGCCACCATGCCCAGCTGGTTATTAAAATTATCTGTCCCTGGCCTAGTGTGGTTGGCTTAGGCCAATAATCCCAGCACTCTGGGAAGTGGAGGCAGGTGGATTGCTTGAAGCCAGGAGACTGAGGCAGGAGGATTACTTGAAGCAACATAGCAAAATCCCCTTTTCTACAAAAAAGAAAACAATTAGCCAGGCATGATTATGCATGCTATGGTCCTCTCTACTTGGGAAGCTGAGGTGTTGAGCCCAGTTGGAGGCTTCAGTGAGCCATGATTGCACAACTATACTCCAGCCTGGGTCCAGAAACCCAGACCTTGTTTCTAAAAAACAAAAAAGAAGAAGAAGATTTATACTGGCCTCATGAAAATATCTTGGGAGAGCATTTCCTCTTTTTCTATTCTCTGAGTTTTTGTAACAGTAGAATTATTTCTTCTATAGTTGTTTGGTTTTTTTTTGTTGTTGTTGTTGTTTTGCTTGTTTGTTTGTTTAGTTGGAGTCTCACTCTGTCGCCCAGACTGGAGTGCAGTGGCCACTCCCGGCCACCGCAGCCTCGCCTGCTGGGCTCCAGCGATCCTTCTGCCTCAGCCTTCCGAATAGCCGGAATTACAGGCATGCGCTACCACGCCCGGCTGATTTTTTGATTTATTGTAGAGATGAGGTCTCGCTGCCTAGGCGGGTCTCGAACCCGCGGGCTCAGGCAATCCACTCACCTCAGCCTCCCAAAGGCGCGGGATTGCAGGCTGAGCCACTGAGCCCGGCATCTTTTTTTTTTTTTTTTTTTTTTTTTTTGAATCGAAGTCTCTCTGTCATCCAGGCTGGAGTGCAGTGGCACGCTCACAGCCACTGCAGCCTCAACCTGCTGGACTCAGGCAATCCTTCCACCTCAGCCTTCTAAGTAGCTAGAACTACAGGCGCATGCTACAACATCCAGCTAGTTTTCTGATTTATTGTAGAGACAAGGTCTTGCCAAGTTACCCAGGCTGGTCTCGAACCCCTGGACTCAGGCAATCTTCTCTCCTTGGCCTCCCAAATTGCTGGGATGACAGGCTTGAGCCACCGCGCCCAGCTTAGAAGTGGAGTCTTGGGCAAATCTCAGGTCCCCTCCCACTGTGGGAGCTTTTCTGTCCTCTTAAATCCCACTTTCTCACATACATGAAAAAGTGGAGTCTTGAGGGGGATCCCCTCAGGGTGGATAGATTGGTCTCTGTCACCTGGGAAGGTCCTCCCCGTCCCTCCCCCTTCACTGCTGTATTCTCCGGGCTTAGTACAGTGCAGGGAACGGGGAATGGAGGCCTTTTTCTCTCCTGCCCGACCCTGCCTCTGAGGTCCCTGTCCTTGGGGCTGAGGCCTGTCTGCCTGTTCTGCAGAGCCACCCTCCATACGCCTGAAGGCCCGCCCTGGCGACCCCGGCTTTTCGGTGCTCACCTGTAGTGCCTTCTCCTTCTACCCTCCGGAGGTGCAACTTCGATTCCTCCGGGATGGGCTGGCAGCTGGCACCGGAGAGGGCGACTGTGGCCCCAATGGCGACGGCTCCTTCCACGCCTGGTCGTCACTGGTCATCAAAAGCGGCGACGAGCACCACTACCGTTGCCATGTGCAGCACGCAGGGTTGACGCAGCCCCTCAATGTGGAGCTGGGTGAGGTCCCTATTTGTGACTGCCTCTGTCCCACTGCTGCACCAGTCCTTCCTGAGCCTGACCTTCCTCCCCACTGCTGCCAGTCCTTCTGCATCTGACTGCCATGTGTCCTGCTGCTGACTACCAGCTCCCCCAAAGCCCGATGGCCTGTCCTCCCCAAGTCTGACTGCCTTCCATCCCGCTGCTCGTGGCCTCAGTGAGTCTGACCAACTGTTAACCACCATGGCCAGTCCTCCTCGAGTCTGGCTGTCTTCCGTCCTGCTGCTGCTGGTCTTCGCAGAGGCTATTTATTGTCTGCTATGCCAAGCCTCACCAAGACTGACCATCGACTGCCTTGCTGCTGCCAGTTCTCCATGAGTCTGACCTTCTGCTGCTCTGTGCCTGCCCCTCCTTTCCAAGTTGGAACACCACCCGCCTTGCTGCTATGGTCCGCTGCCAGGGACTGAGAGCTCTCTTGCTCCGGCTGGTTCTTACATCCAACCTGGGGGCATTTGGCCCAGACTGCAGCGCCGCTTGTCTGGCTTTCCCTGCTCACCCCCAGCCCCAGACACCTGGTACTGGGATCTCTGAGGTTGGGAGGGACTAGGAGCCCCTGCTCCGCCGTCCGGGCTGGAAGGGGTGGAGGGTCCGTTTAACGTCTCATAGCGTTCTCTGGCTGCAGAGTTGCCAGCCAAGTCCTCAGCGCCCGTGGTTGGAATCATCATCAGCCTCTTGATGCTCACGGCAGCCGCTGTAGGAGGAGTTCTGCTGTGGAGGAGAATGAAGAACGGGCTGCCAGGTGTGGGGCAGGAAGGGGAGGAGCCTCAGACGGGGACAGAGACCCCAAGGAGAGGGGGACACGGAGAGGGAGAACGGGGACTCAGAGTAGGGAAACAGGCCCAGAGAGAAGGGGACAGAGACCCACAGAGAGGGGGACACAGATCTGGGAGATCAGAGACTCAGCATAGGGAGACAGATCCAGAGACAAGGGAAGAGAGACCCAGAGAGACGGGACAGAGTATCAGAGGGGAGCAGAGACCCAGAGAGAAGGGGACAGAGACCCAGGGAGAAGGGGACAACAACCCAGAGGGAGACAGAGACCCAGAGGAAGGGATAGAGACTCAGAGAGGGGGAGAGAGAGACCCAGAGAGGACAGAGGACAGAGACCCTGCGAGAGGAGGAAAGAGTTCCAGAGAGAGGGATAGATACCCTGAGAGAAAAGGACAGAGACCCAGAGAGGATAAGACGGAGACTGACAGAGCGCATGACACACACACACACACACACACACACACGAGAGAGAGAGAGAGAAATGGGAGGAGGAACAGAGACCCAAAGTGAGGTTCTGATGACCTCCCCCTTTCTCTCTCCTCAGCCCCTTGGCTGTCTTTGCGTGGGGATGACATTGGGGCCCTCCTGCCCGGTCCTGGTCTGCCCCAGGATGCTGACTCTCAGGATATAAATGCATCCTCAGCAACTGCCTGACCCATCCTGGCTGCTAATAGCTAATGCAGTCTGGTCTCTCTCAAGCTGTGAGACCTCCTGGAATACTGGCATCTCTGAGCCTTCAGAAGGAGTCCTGGGCCCAGCTGATCTGCCTCAGTTTCCCCTCCGAATGTTTATGGTTCTTTTCCACCTCTGCAATATAACGAGTTGGGCCTGAATCATCGTGTTCTCATCATTTTACGTTTTCAGGCAGGGGAAGTATGGGAATGGGTGGGCGGCATGAATAGTCCTGGGCTTCACATCCCTTCTGGGGCTGACACGTGCCCATGTGGAATCCGCCGGTTTTATATACCAAGTCATGTATTTTTCATAATAAATTTCGAAATTGTTTACTGGATACCTACACCGTGCCAGGCGTTTTGAGGAGTTCTTGGCTGGTGTCTGACTTGAATCCTTCTTAGTGGAGCAGATTGAGATGAGAATCGCTCCCTCTTGGAGGACAGGGGATGGCCCCTCCGTTCGCCCGATTCTTAAACCATCCTGACAAAAGCAAAGGGAGGAAAATACATCTCCCATGAGGCTTTGGGGCTAGAGCGACTGGAGGTAGGCGGCAGGGCGCCCCGATGCCTGCCGGGAGTTGTAGTTCCCCGACAGCGTCGCCCACCCGGGCCTCCCGGCCCGCCGCGCTTGCCTTTGTGGACGTGGCGAGGGGCGGCTCTCGTCGGCCCCGCCCCGTGGGGCGCTCGCGCGCGCTCATTGGTCGGGGGGCGGGGCTCCGCGCTGCCAGAGGCGGGGCCTGACTGGAGGGCGGCCAAATTGGACATCTTCGGGAGAACGCGGAGTGGAGCGCGGAGAGCGAAGCGAAGCTGGACAGCGGGGTAAAGTGAGTGGGTGGGGGGCCGCCCTGGGAGGGCGGCTCGGGTCGAGGTCAGGGTCCAGGCCGAGGGCGACGCCGGGGAGCTTGCCTGACCCCTCACTGGCCACCACCGTGCCCTGCACTTCGCACGGGACGTGCGCCACGTCTCCCTCTGCTCCCTCGCGCATCCGGGACCCCCCTCGGACTCCCTCGGATGATTGGGTCCCCGCAGCTGGTTTAACCTCCGAGCACCCCGCCCTCCTTTTCCCCCTCGCTGGCCCTGCCCGAGCCTAAAAGTTTGCAGCCGGCGTCCATCTCTCGGTCCGGTCCTAGGCAACCGCCCACCCCGCCATCCTCCTGTCCCGGTTCTGCCCTCATCCCTCCGGCCCCCGACCCCTGGCCTCTGTCACTCCCCAGGGGCCCATGATGTGGCGACCCTCACTTCTGCTGCTTCTGTTGCTACTGAGACACGGGGCCCAGGGGAAGCCGTCCCCGGACGCCGGCCCTCACGGCCAGGGGAGGGTGCACCAGCAGGCCCCCCTGAGCGAGGCCCCTCACGATGACGCGCACGGGAACTTCCAGTACGACCACGAGGCTTTCCTGGGAGGGAAGTGGCCAAGGAATTCGACCAGCTCAGCCCAGAGGAAAGCCAGGCCCGGCTCGGGTAGGAGCGAGCCGGGGGCGGGGCGTGTTCCGAGGGGTGGGGGGAGACAGACTTGGGAGCATCGAGGAGGGGACAGAGTCCGGGGCTGGGAAAGAGAGATGGCCTGGAGTGGACTTCAGTTCTCAGCAAGAACCCGGTCTGCAGTTCTACCTTCCTCCTTGGGAAAATTGAGGGAAAATTGAGGACCTTTCAGGGTAGCAAAATCTGGGTTCAGATTCTGCCCCCTCGGTCACCCTTTTTTTTTTTTTTTTTTTTTTTCTTTTTAAGTTGGAGTCTCACTCTGTCGCCCAGACTGGAGTACAGTGGCACCCTCACAACTACTGCAGCCTCCACCTGCTGGGCTCAGGTGATCCTTCCACCTCAGTTTTCCAAGTAGCTGGAACCACAGGTGCATGCCACCGCATCCAGCTAATGTTTTGGTTTATTGTAGAGGTGAGGTCTCGCCAGGTTGTCCAGTCTGGTCTCAAACACCTGGACTCAGGCAATCCTCTTGCCTCCAACTCCCAAAGTGCTGGGATGACAGGAATGAGCCACTGCACCCGGCCTTGGTCACTCTTTATTCCCGTATCCTCTCTAAGCCTCAGTTCCCTGCTCTGTAAATGGGCAAGGACTGATGTGAAAATGAGATTTGACATGTGGAGAGCCCAGCTAGCTGGAAGACATCTGAGTCCCGAGTTCTGGGTGAGCCGGGTTGAATAGCTTCTTGCTATGAACTGGAGGGGGCCTGCCCTCCTGTAGGGGAGACAGGGCCAGACTGGATCTAAGGGCAGGGAGGCGACGGAAGCAGCCCCCTCTATCTGTGCATGGTACTGATGCTCATTCAGCCCAGTAATGTTTATTGAGCACCCACTGTTTGCCAGGCACTGCTCTAGGGCTGCATCACAGCAGTGAGCAAATCAGACAAAAAATTCCTGTCCTTGTGAACCAACTGAGCAAGGCCCTTCCTTGATGACTCCCACTGCAGTGGGGGAAACAACTATCCATCAATAAATGTAAAGTGAGCCGGGCTCGGTGGCTCAGCCTGTAATCCCGTGCCTTTGGGAGGCTGAGGTGA